GGTTTCCAAAGCACAGGTCATTCTATGCTTTCCCAGTCATCATATTTGAAATAATAAATCTTTTTCAGGCCTGAGAGAAAGCCCAACTGAGCTGTCTGACTAGAGGGTCAAATGTCAGCCGTTAGGAGGTCATGCCCTGATGCAACTCAGGATTCTCATTCAAGAAGCTGATCACTGCTTTGCTGCTAGCTTACATTGCTGCCTATTTAGGCTCATTCCAGGGCTCTTATTTCAATCTCACCTAGAAAGAAAATAAGTGTGCCCCAGTGATTTACTCTTTCATTGACTTTTTACTACCAGGACACCTGTTATTTTCTCCAAACTTGCTTTTACTCATAATAACAGAGCTATGTTGATCTTGCTACCCAAGGATACCAAAAGACAATTTAACAAACACCACTCTAAAAGGAACCATGTTCCAATACTCTTAAATAAAATAAATCACCAACTTAACACCAAAGCAATTAGACTTTGCACCTTCTCTCAGAACTGAATATTACAGCTTATTTGAAAGATCACATTAAAGGCATATTGCCATTTCTGAAAGGTAGAGCATCTGCTTTGCATGTAGAAGATCTCAAGTTCAGTCCCCAGCATCTCAAGGTAGGATTGGGAATGTCTCTTGCCTAAAGAACTGCTGCCATTCAGTACCAAGCTAGCTGGACCAATCAACTGACATGGTATAAAGGAGCTTCCCATGTTCCAGATTTCTGTCTACGGGTTTTTGCCTTTCTCTGTGTTTATATATACACACACATGCACAGACTTGTGGAATATACTTTACACATCTATACCATCAACACTTATTCCATAATAAATTGGCCAAAGGTACCCCAATATTGTTCCAGCTCCTCAACAATATCTAGTGGTACGTTTAAAAACAATTTTTCATTGGTTTTTAAACAAATACAATAACCATTAAACACACATCCAGCAGTACATCTAACTGTGTTTTATCCTTTGTTTCTAGACATATGCTTACACATTCAACATTCAAGCATATTATTTAATGTATCCTCTCCAATGAGAATATTGAGCAGTTGGTATAACAAGGTCTTGATTTTGGCTGTTAACATAGTTAAGGGGCCTATGCGTCTTGGAAGGTATATTATTTGTTATGTCTTTAATTGCCTTTCTGTGTCTGGTGAGATGCTCAGACATTGCTGTATCCCAGATATTATTCTCCCATATATTCCGGGGTATTTCAATCTGGTTCTTTCATCACTGAGCTATCACTAATCGTGCTGCAGTCAGTAAGATGCCTACTAGTTCTCTATGGAGCAGGGAGGAATCTACGTCTATATCCAAAGATAGTAGGGCTAAGGCAGGATTTAGAGAAAGGGGTTGGCCTGTAATTGCAGATATAATGGAGAATACTCTATTTGAAAAGTTTTTAAGATGGGGGCATTCCCACCAAACCTGAATAAAGCTTTCCACAGCCCTTCAAATAAAGAAGGGAGGGGTTAATTTTTGTCTAGTGCCATTGGAGGATGACCTTGAGAAAGGCTTCCTGTTGCAGTTTTCTTCCCTGTTCCTGCCTATCATCACTGGCTGCTGCTGGTGATGGAGGGAAATGCAGTCTATCATAACAGCAGGAGGCAGGTTCTGTTAGATATTGTGAAGGAGGTAACTAGATGCACAACTATTATTTGCAATGGCAGCTGAATGTTTAGTGTAGTGTCTAATTTGGACTCTAGAGCCATGCAATACTGGTAATTCTCTTTTCATTCCTAGAATGCCACTACTTATTCTTAAGACAGGGATAGCCAACATGGTACCCTCCAGGTGTTGCTAGACTACAACTCCCATAATTCCTACTAATTGGCCACGAGGCTGATGGAAGCTGTGGTCCAACAACTTCTGGTGGGCACTATGTTAGCTACCATTGATTTAAGGGAACAGAATTATCAGCTAAAATCAGAATACTCTAACAGCTAACTTCATTTAAACCGAGCAGTGGTGCTTTAATTCTTCTGCACAATAGATTGTTCCAGATGACGTCGTCCAACAAATAAGCAGTGTGCTAGTGCAGTGGGAAGCTTGCTTTGTTAAGTACAATGGCTTACACATAGTAAATTTAGATTTTAAAATGAAGAAATCAACCAACCAAGTCTTTCCAACTCCTGAAAATGCAGTCAAAGCTACCTGTGAATAAGCACCGGATATTAGCCAAGTAATGAATAGAGTGCTTTTAGTAGTAATTTGTACCAAACAGCAACACTTAAATGTTATGAGAAAGAATGACAAAAAGTAGGATAAACTACTCTTTGCGGATCAGAGATCCGAGGAGCATTTTGCTGAAAGACAGCTGTAACAGCCCAGTCTGAGTAGCAACGTAAGTAAACAAAATAAAACTGCTTCCCAGAGTGGCTATGCTTTGCCAAAGAAAGCAGTCAGGTAAGAGCTATAAACAGCTGAGAGACCTGTAAACATTACACTCTAATTTGTTTTGAACACAGGAGAAAGTAAAATGATTTACAAAGATCCTTCCCATTCATGCTATGAACACATTGTGTCTGTTTCAAATCTACTTAAGACCAAACGTCAGAGGACTGACATTGCCTCCACATTATTTATAGGTTTAAAAATTAATGCAAGAGCAATTTCCTATGTAAAGTGCTAGGAAGTCTTTATTTCTTTTCTTGAAAAGGCTACTATGTTCTTGCTAATTTTATTCACCATAAGCTTTTGGTTTATCGCGAGAGATATTGTAGTGTCAGTATACGGACATTTAGGAAGGCAGCAATAAAAATCTTTTTCTCTGCTACAAATAATGAAGTACTTTAGGATTTACTGTTATAAAAGTTTCCTTTCTTCACTTCCGTCTTGTGCAAAAGAAATCACATACTCTCTGAAGGACTGCTCAAGTAAGACACATTCTTCCAAATTCTATCTTTATTTTTGTTTAATGTGTAATTGTCCAGTAGTTGTAACAGTAACAAACAAGCAACCATAACATAATAAACTAGAATGGTTTAAATTTCAAGAAAGGTACCTTTATTAGTTTGTGGTAGTGAAAAAAGAGTCTTATGGTAAAGACTAACAAATTTGTTAAGGGATAAGCTTTCATGGACCACATTCCACTTCATCAGATGATATATACGCTGCACACAGACACACTCTTAGGGAAATAGTGTCTCTATAATATCAGCCACTGCCACCTCCTCCCAAATTTCCTTGACTATGGGATTTCTTAGAAGCAGGGAAGTCTCTGACCTCTTCAGCATGTGGCCCTCAGAACATTGCTCTGAAGGGAATGCCCTTGGGCTTAAAGCGTTTTTCCACCCCTGCTGTAAACTAACAACACAGCTTCTGCTGGATCATTTCCATTTTACTGGAGAAATTCCCATTGGTTTCAACACATTTGTCTTCTGCAAAAAATATTGATGACCTGGTAGTTAAGGGGTTCAAACCATTTGGAATACAGAATTAGACTCCCCCCCCCCTCTTTTTTTGGTAAATTACAATCATTAAACATCCTCTACCTATTGCTATTTAAATCAAATGCCTGGAACCCTAATGTGAAATAACAGCACCCCAAATGCTATTTTAATTGATGAAATTATTTCTAATGTAGAAATAAAGAAACCCTTCACTTCAAGTACTGCATACTTTTGTTTCAATATTTCCCACTGTTACAAAGCTGAATACAGAGCTCATTGTGTGTGCTATTCTACTATGCCAATCCACCCCCTAAACCCAATTTATACAATAAGCCCCAAAGGCTGCTACTAATAGCAGCCTATGTTGACAGGTTCAATTTTTTGAGAGGAGGAGGAGGGAACTGATATGGTTCCACAAGAGTGAGCTGCCTTTCAAATGTCTATTATATTGCAATATCCATCTGCAGAAAGGTTTTGGAATTAACAGCTTTGGTCTCCTACATTTCTGTCCATCATGTGAAGCTATAGATAATGAACAGGCTATTCCACATTTGCCACGAGAAACAAATGTGCAGAGCAAAGATAGAGCAATATGGAAACCTGAACGTAATTTATTTTAAGAACAGCAACGTTCAGAATACTCTTAATTTATTTTAAGAACAGCAATATCCCAAACGTTCTGCTACTTTAGAACCTGGTTATATTTTAACTTAATAAAGGAGGGATAAAAATATTATTCATATTGCTTCCAGCCTGCCTAGTCTTACAAAGCCCTTGCACTAAGTTTTACAAATCTATAACACCATATTGAAAGTGTGTCTGTCATGCTATGCAGATGCAGGGGAAAGTGTCCTGGGGAGAGCTTTTCATCATGAAGATGAAAGAGAGCTCCCAGGCCTTTTGGAATGAGACTTACTGGAACTCAGCATAAAGACAGATGCTTCCTTTTTAATGGCAATTATTACAATACTCTGGCAGAGCATTAAATCCATTTCTGATCATTTTCATCTCTTAGAAATTAATCAATGCTGCCTCCCTCTCCCCCCCCCCCTTTTTATAAAATTGTATTTTTTCAGTACCTCCCAGATTGGTGTGTATACAGTGTCCACTAACAGGAAGGAAAAGGTTTTTGTTTTTTAACTTAAGAAGAATTTCAGAAGTCAACCGTCAGAAGCGTCATGACAAGTATTGTAGCATTCACATCATAGAAGCACTTCGATAAAATAGCATATGCGGCTCAGACCTCAACCTGAGGGTAATCCCAGTAGCATGAACAAATCTTAGTCAAATGAGGACTGGAGACAGGACTGGCTCAATACATTTTGCTACTTGAAGCAAAACAGAAAGTGTTGCATCCTGCCACTGCCCCTCCACCACTGCTCCCTCCACCACTGCTCCCTCCTCCTCTTTTGCCACTGTCTGAAGTGACTGGAAGCAGCCCAGGAAAGGCCCAACACAGTGAAGGCAGCAAGGGAGAAAAAAGGATGCTGGAGAGGAGCAGGTGGTGGCAGCAGCAAAGTAGTCTGCCTGACAGCTTGGCCTTCATCATAAAATATTCCTGTAAAATAAAAGGGATGCCTGTGATATCTCTGGTATAAACAATTTGGTCTACCTCACCTGCTGCTGATGTGGAGGGCTGCGTTGAATTTTCACTTTCATCATCAGTGCTTCCGTCATAATCTTCTGTTTCAACTTTACTTTCGGATGTAGACATGGTGTCCCTGTAAAAACACAAAGGCATTTCCTTCTCATGCCTTTAAAATACATTTTAAACCAATAGATATGACATCATCATCTGCATATGCAGCACAGATGAACAGGTATTTGTTTGAATTGTATTAATTGGATAAGGGATCTAAATAGAGACCATTATTTGTGGTGTGACACCCCTTTTGCATTGATTCAGATTTGTCATGGCCAATGTCTGATGCAATAAAGATATCTGGATTGGATTGGATAATGAAAGTTTTAGACAAATCTGACCAAACTCAGGTTCCCTAACCATTTTTCTCTGAAAAAAATAATTATTGTGATTCCTAAGTTTATATAACATTTATGGTGGTTACATGTTTTTTTAAATATGTTCCTTTCCAAATGTATAATAAGTGAAGTGTGGTGAAGATTTCACCAAATTCCTTTAAGTTGGCAGTTTCCAACATTTTCATAATTGGGACTGACCTTAGTCCTAACCTCCAATGAAACCCATTTCCTCCCCGTATATACGTTTTTAGTCATTCTCTGCTGTCTTTCCCATTCTCTCTTTTCCTTTTCTCCTTTTCCTAACTCTCCTCACTTTCTCTCTGTGTTTCTCTGTTAAAAAAACAAATCCTTAAAAGATGGTGCTGCTGCTGGTGTGACCCACTTTAAGTCAGGGCACAACCCAGCTGTGGGTCCTGACCCAGCCACTGAAGGTCAGTGTTACTATCATCCGTCTAAAGGCCACTTCACATACAATAGTTATAGCAGATTCTCATTAAAAAGTTTAGTACGTAATGTGTGATGTTGCTAAAACAAAGAGAAAAACAAGGACAGAAAGGAAAGGTAAAATGAATTCTAAGACTGATTGACCTGATCCACACCTCCTCGATTAATTCTGGGAATTTCAATATGAACCTATTTGATCTTCACCATCCACATTATATCACAGATTGAAAACTAAGCTTTCAGATTTTGCTCTCCTCTAAATTTTTCAGTGAATTTCTCCGTTCAAAAAAGTACCATCAAATGCATTATTTTAGGATAAAATACATCAAAATACATTGATGTGTACTGTGAGAAAAAAAATATTTAGAAATTTGGATTGCGTGAGGAAATACAAACATATCTAGGATCTTTGTGCTTTAAAAACAATACAGATAAATATGAAAATGAGATGAAATGAATGTGTTATGAATGAACAGATGGAAAAGTACACAGAAAAGAAATATACTGATTTGTCCACCCTTAGTTACAACATGATTTCTTCTCCCCTCCCTTATGAAGTCACAGTAAGATCCTGAACACATTTCCAGGAAAATACTATGCATAATAGTAAAAATAAGGTACATGCAAAATTTGCAATGTGTGCCTGTTTCTGTTGCATTGTGTGAAACAAGCCAGAGTAATAGGGTATTTTATTTTATACCTAAAATTATACAAGCTTGATGTTTTCAAGGTCATCTGCCATTAGAGATGGTGATACAGCTTCAAATCCTACAAATACATTCTTCTACAGTCCCTATTAGCTTCCTCAGTGGAAACAAAGCCCCACTCTCAGTAGGGAAAATAGCCACCAATGGCTCCTTTCGTCAAGTTCAGATTATTATTAACGAGCTCTAATACTTTACTGCATTTACATGGAATAAACTTTTGCTAACCCTGATCAATCTCTGTTCTAGCTAAGTCTTAGCCATTCCATCATCACAAATATTTTCAAGGAAAGCCCAGCCTGCATATCAGGTATCTCATTAGCTAACGCTTTTATCCTTCTTTTAAAGCCAGGATTAAGAAAAGACGGGCAGGCATGCCTGTGATATACAAAATATTTGACAGTTTCAAATGAAGATTCAGATTTACTACTTTGCTTCTAGATGGCATTAATGAGACTGAATTGCAGAACTGCTAAAGGTGCCTGCACTTCAGAGCTCAACAAAGTGATTTTTGCTGTAAGATCATTCTGCTAAAGCTTAGATGAGTCAACCAAACTGAACCACATTTATTTTAAGCATGATGCTTAGTAGCACAAAGAAAGTAATAAAGAGTACCTTGCTTGTGTTGTTTCCAAGACAGCTTCTTCAGCTTCTTTCAAACTTTTCTGTAAGTTTCTTATCTTAGCTTTCTTTTCATTGAGGACCAAGATAAATCTTTTATAAAGTTCCATCTCTAGTTCTTCTTTAGCTTCAACACATTTTTGTAATCTTAAAAACGAAATGTACATTTCTGTACAGTCAGCTTTATACATTTCAACACTTTCCCCCAAAACTTAGTGAGAATATGCAAGAACATATGTTTCAAAGAGGCATTATCCTTATTAAATCTCCAACAAGAAGTAGTGTTAGACAGTCCTTTTCTATACAAACGTAGTGGAGTCTAAAATATTCTAAACACGATTTTCCGTTGTATAAGTCTTAGATCCATTGATACCACTGCTTACAGAAGTTAAGACACTATCCCACTATCTAGGTAGTATAGGTAGTCTGACTGTACGGAAAAACTAAAAAAATTCAGAAGAAAATATTATTTTGAATTATATACCTATCATATGGAAGTTGACAACTGGACAACAAAAATGAACTCTATGTACCCTAACTATGGCCAAAAGACTAGAACTGATGAATTGGAAGGGGGGGTTGACTATGTTCCCTTTAACCAATGGTTTGAAGACATTACAGCATTTACAACATATGAACAGATTGCTTATAGATACAGACTTTGTTTGGATAAACATACTGCTGTTTGGAATGAGTTTATACAGAGTATAGCAGGTTATGAATAATCATATATGTATTAGCACAGATAAGCTTTAAAAACTTTAAAATATCAATAAAAATACAAATGTACATTTCATGTTTATGATAAAGAGTAAGGGAGGTCTCTAAATTGTCTTAGATGCTTACATCAAAAGCATGAGGCATGACAGCAGCCTTCCAAGTTTACCCAAGTGGAGAAACCAGCTCCTAAAATGGAATGTGTTGCCATACTATTGGGTGATATTCAATGTTACTCTGAGCAGGCCCACTGATTTCACCCAGTGTCTATAAATTTAAAATTCAGGGTTTTTTGTGCATATTAAACCATAAAGACCCAACATATTAAGCTTATGTTTCAGAATGTATTTGGCTCTTTAGGTCACTAGCCCAGTTTAAAATATTAGCAAATATAGATTGTACCGCTTTACAGATTAAATTCCATAATGGGAAAATAATCTTATGAACTATTAACACAGTCTGCCTTGATGTGTTCAACAGCTGATAAATAATTCATCTAATTTAAATGCAAATGGCTGTGTATTATTAGCATGTAGATCAGCTCAATAACTCTTAAAAGAAAGATGATATGTACTAATCAACTATAAATCAAACCTCAAACTCTTTAGCAGGGGTGGGGAAATTGAACAGAAACGGTAAAATGTTAAGATTAACAGTAAAAGGAGAATCCTTACACGTTTCATTGGGGAAGCAAATTTAAAAAAAATGTTTCAGAAAATAAAGACAAAGTGATGATTGCAGTTTTTTCCTATTCTGTAGCAGCAAGGTTCAAAAAGTTCAATCTTGCTTACACATCAGCCATAGGGCCTTATCATTTGCAGAAAATACGTCTACAACTGTTTTCAGTAAGAAACAAAATCCATACAAATTTCTGAATTATAGCTATCTGGAGGATAAACCAAAGCTCAGCAGATGGAAGTATGCTTTTATTATTGCTAAAAGCAACAGATTTAAATTAACACCAGCAGATTCCTGGTTTAGCACGGAGTAGTGGCATGCAAGGATTATGAAAGTCACAAAAACCAGGCAGCTTCATTTTCACAGAAGAACAAGCTCCACCATCTTAGAAGGTGACCAAAAACTTGTTGCATCTAGTATAAGGAGGGATATTTTACATTTTACAAAATTTAAGTTTGCAAGTGTTACTTTCATCCTTTGTTGCCTTATGTCCTCATTTTATTTGTATTGCTCTCTCCTTTTTGTTCTAGATTACATTCCAGTCTGGCTTCAGGCTTCCTCACGGCCCTGAAACTGGCTTGGTCACCCTTGTTCATGACTAATTGGGAGAGAGATGGGGGTAGTGCAACACTTGATCTCCTTGATCTCTCAAAACTGTTAACCACGGTAGCCTTCTTGGAGTGTCTCAGGGGGTTGGGGGCCACTGAACCAGGCAGAGGGCCTTCTCAGTAGTGGCGCCTGCCCTGTGGAAGGCCCTCCCAGCAGATGTCAAGGCAATAAACAACTATTTACTTTTAAAAGACAACTGAAGTTGGCCCTGTTTAGGGAAGTTTTTAATGTCTGATGCTGTATTGTTTTTAATATTCGGTTGGGAGCCACCCAGAGATGTGTGGGGTATAATAATAAATTTGTTGTTGTTGTTGTTGTTGTTATTATTATTATTATTATTATTATTATCTCTAGTTTCCTTCGTCAACAGGAGATTCAGAGTGAAGTATCATCCATATGCAGATGACACCAGCTCTATCTGTACCATCTGAATCAGGAGAGACAGTTGAGCTATTAGGCCAGTGGTTGGAGGCAGTGATAAGATGAAAAATGGGCCAATAAACTGAAGTTGGAAGGGACCTCGGGAGTCATCTAATCCAACCCCTCTGGAATGCAGGAATCTCAACTAACACATCCATGACACATGGCCATCCAACCAGGAAAGGAGAGTCTACAGTGCAACCTCACAAGGGAGTCTGTTCCACCGTCAAACAGCTCTTACGGTGACAAAAAATCTTCCTGATGTTTAGTTGGAATCTCCTTTCTTGTAACTTGAAGACATTGGTTCAGGTCCTATCCTGTGGAACAGGAGAAAACAAGCTTGCTCCATCTTCCAGTTGACAGCCCTTAAGATATATGGTTATTTTAAGACCCTTTATCATCAAAATAGCCATTATCCATCCTTACATTAGAAGTACAGATTACTGCGGCTATTTCATTGATATTAGAATAAAAATCAAACCAAGAATATCCCATGCAGTTTATTTTCAACTTACTGCTCTTGCACATCATCTAGATCACTTTGAAGTCTTTCATTCTCTTTTTGCAGATGCTCATTTTTTGAATGTAGCCCTTTTATGCAGTCTAGGCAATAGCTAATCAGCTCACTAATGACTTCAGCCGGACCTGAGACTTTCTGTAACATCAGCGATCCGAGTCTAAACTAGGACAAAAAGAAACAATGAGTTACTTAGCTAGATAAGGTCAGGATACCCATTTTCAATCAGGCATCTTCAATGGTCACTCTACAAATGCTTTCCTGTTACAAATGACAACAGCAAGACGATAGAGCTTGTATACTGGTGAAAGCTTTTCCTTCCTAGGACTTGATCTGAAAGGTCTCTACTGATATTTGAAAATGGACATTAGAGCAGGGATTAGTTTCATTTCAACTGTAAATGGAACTCCAATAAGACACAGATTGTGTGCTGCCTTCCGAAATAGAAGTGCCATAAAATATAGGACTTTATTGGATCTGCATAGGATAAAGCTATACCTCTCAAATCTATAGTGGTCTACTACAAGCCACAAGAAATTGCATGTGCATTCAGATCTTGCTAACTGATAAAGTCATTGGGAAACTCAGAATTTATTAATAAATCAATTTATCAATCCAAAAAGCTTGGGACAGTAGGCATTGAATTTTTTACATTTTATCAAGAGTTAAGGTAATCCACTAGCGAAGATGACAATGAGGCCAAACTTAGATTCACAAAGTGTTTAGGGGCATGCATACCCCTGCGTACCCCCAGAAAAAAGCACTGCCTTTAGCTAATTTAAGTTCCTACGTAACTTTTTCTGCCATGGGTATATGCCACAGCATCCGTGACTGGACCTAACGGTCAGGGGTCCCTTTACCTTTACCCTTGAACTGTACCAATAATTTAACCATACCAATAATAAGCAAAAGTGAAGTCAGGTTGCACAAGAGTAGTGAGCATGGCATGACAGTGAGAAGGGAGAAAGACTGAAAGGCTGGTGGGGACGGGGGAAACTGGCAGTTTTAAACAATGGTAAGAGGTTTGAGTAAAGTACTGTGGAATATTTGAGAGCTCTCATGAGGCAGCTGAGGAATGGAAGAGGGAGTAGTTTGAATACAGTGAGAAGGGAGAGAGATGAAGGTTTTTGTACTTTTAAAGTTATTGTTGAAACCATATTGTTTTTGTTGACCCTCTTTTCCACTTACGGAGCTAGTTTACTGTTTTTCTTTGAAATAAATATTCAAAAACATTTAACCTACTGATGCCTCGATTAATGTAATTTTATTGGTATCTATTTTTATTTTTGAAATTTACCAGTAGCTGCTGCATTTCCCACCCTAGGCTTATACTTGAGTCAATAAGTTTTCCCAGTTTTTTTGTGGTAAAATTAGGTGCCTTGGCTTATATTCGGGTCAGCTTATACTCGAGTATATATGGTAAGTTCTTAACCCGAGGTACCACTGTACAACATGTAGGTGGTTCACAAATTTCTTTTTTTTTCTGATGTCCCAACTCCTCCCTTTCTTTCCCCAGTTAATATTTTTCCCCAAGACAAATTTCACTAATTTCTGCACATTGCTGAAATCTCTACAGATCAATTCATATCTTCCTACTGCCTCCAGCTGTTTTCAGCTATCTGATTTTGTACCATGTGCAAATGTAATTACTTTGTTTCCCACTTCTCTTTTCAGTCTACTAACAAGACATTTAACAAGAACCCAACACCAGGATTTTGGTGGTCCAGTATATATATTCCACTAACATTTCTAAGTGGATCCGCTGGGGAAATGGTGTCTCAATCTGAAGTCCCCCACTTTTTTTTAATAATACCCATTACATAACAGAGACACAGAGCAAGGCAAGTAAGAGCAGAATCCTATATTCATGTCTAATAAGAAGAAAACGTTATTGAATTCAATTAGGCTTACTCATATGTAAGCAGCTATAGGATTACAGTATAGTCTAACTGGGCATGCACCAATATAGCTTGTTTGGAATTGCCTCTCTACCTAGATTTCTAAAACCCTGTATCTTTTGCCTAGCCAATCAACGACTTCATTGATCACTGATGCTCTTTGGGCAAAACTGGTATCAAGCTTCTTCTGATAACATTTACCTTTTCCAAATACTAACTTTTCCAATTACTTCAATTGCAAAGATATTTGGTTGAGAAAATTCAGCAAATTACAAATCAGTCTTACACCACAGGGTGTTGGACTTTGTAGGTTTTTCTTTCTTTTGCTTTGATGTTGGTTTGTTCAGAGTGAGCAATTGTATTATACAATATAAAATACTAGATCTCTATACCAAATTGTTTCCAGGCTCTATCCGCTGGATGACATAGGGAGGAAAAGAATGGAGCAAAACAGGAAAAAGAGGCTGGAGGGTACATTGGGGTTTTTTTTAATATAAAAACAAGATTTTTATTGGTTTTTAAACAAATACAAATAAAATAACCATTAAGCACTTATCCAGCAGTACATCTAATGGTGTCTGTTTTATCCATTCTCTGTAGACATTCACTTACACATTCAACATTCAAACATATTACTTAATGTAACCTCTCCAATGAGAATTATGAGCGCTTGATATAACAAGGTCTTGATTTGGGGCATATTGTTCTGATCCATCACATTATCAAACCCTCATCTAAGGAAGTCCCCATTCCCAATAAGACTACCTTCCCACCAGTCCCCAAGACGTCTTCTGTACCCATAATAGCTTCACAGAGAGCATAAAATTCCATGGAGTTCAGTTTCTGCCATAATTAAGATACCAGGAAAAGGAAGACCTCACCTGCAATATTCTGCCTTCTACATAAATTACTGTAGAGATAAGAAACCAGCTCCAACCACCCCAAATAGATCCTTTCCTTTTCAGCAGCGTATTATATATAGTTTTCTTCACAATGAGCCAACCGTTGCTTTTATTTATGCGGAAAACCTCAGCTACTCTTCGCTCGGGATGTCAGAATTCGAAGGAAAAAGGGGAATGGGAGCGGAATTTGCTGAAGTTCACTTATTTGTGAGGTGGGTGGGATGTAGACCAGCAACATGGCAGACAGTTGGAAATAGAGACATAGTTAGTGCAGTTGGCTCTTGTGTGAGGGGAGATAGAAGAGTTAGAGGCAGGATAAAATAAGATTAAGAAGGTAAAGAGTAACAACGTTTTGAATGCAGTTAAATTTTATTTGTGTTTGCAATAAACTACACTCTTTGTTAACTTAAGAACCTGACTGAGAATAAGTGATTTACCAGGGAGGACCTGGTTGGTGGCAGTGGATTAGTGGTGTACAGGTCAATAGTCCGTGAGACATCTGGGGGCTCTGTACGAACGCCACAATGCTCTATTCTCGCCCCCGTCCCCAAAAAATGAGCTGCTGCTGCTGCTGTTGTATAGTGCGGAGAAAACATTTCATAACATGCTTTATAAAAAATTAGGAAAATATATCAGAAATGTTTGGGTACATAATCCTGCCTCAACAAGGGCTTTTTTTTTAATCACAATATATTTATACCCCACTTTTCTATGTAAAACACTGAATGCAACTGATACATTTCAAATAACAAAATGCCACATCAATGCAACAAGTCATGAGGCGAGAAACTTATACAATAAAAGCATTATATCGTGTTTTTAAAATCACTTTCCAAGTGTTCCTGTTTGAAATTGACACAATGACAAACTTGTTTTCACAAAACATCCATCTGGAAAACATTATGCCATTTGATTTCCTAAGTTAATCAGTCAGTGGTCCTGATACGTGTTTTTTTAAGCTGTGCCATCACCATCTCCAGGGATAATGTTCAACAGCAACCATGTCATTGCTGGGTGCGGCAAAGAACCCATGTTATTACGCAACACACTTACAAAAAAATGTAAAAGCTAAACTAGCCTTTAGTCTGAAAATTCTGGAAAGAAAGTAAAAAAGTCTAAAAACTTGGGTTACAGTATTCTAGGTGTTGCATCAGCAAAAGCTGAGCTGGGTTATAAGGGGTTTGTTTTAAGACAGATCATTGATGTTTGCGTGGTTTCCTCATTTTCCAGTAGTAGGAAAGCTAGTTCGTTCGCATTTAAAGAGGGGACATGGGGCGGGTGGTGGTGGAAGTAAGTTTATCAGCAGCTGGACCTGCCTACTCCATGAATGGCCATCTGAACAGAGGCTGCATAGGCACATATTCATGTAGGCATATTCATGTAGGCATATGCCTACATATTCATGTAGGCTTCCTAGAGCAATTGTTCAGAAATTACAATGCATGCGCATGGAAAGGCTGGGCCATAATATCTCTCCCCACACAACCCCAGCATTTGTTCATCATCCCCCTCACACAAAGTTCTCTAGGCCGCTTACAATGAAAGCAGTGTAAATATATATTCAAACATAAAATCAAAACCAAACAGGTACAACAAAAAGAGCGCACACAACATTCCCAATATTAGCAGAAGGCCTTCTCAGTAGTGGCGCCTGCCCTGTGGAACGCCCTCTCATCAGATGTCAAGGAAATAAACAACTATCTGACTTTTAGAAGACATCTGAAGGCAGCCCTGTTTAGGAAAGTTTTTAATGTTTGATGTTTTATCGTGTTTTTAATACTCTGTTGGGAGCCACCCAGAGTGGCTGGAGAAACCCAGCCAGATGGGCGGGCTAATAATAATAAATAATAATAATAATAATAATAATAATAATAATTACTATAGCAAACAAGAGGCTCAGACTACAAAAGTGGCTTAGAAGGTCTAACAAAGTTTTATCCGGCTTGCTCAATGGCTGGGTGATATTTAGCAAAGGGGGAAAGGCCCCAAGCATGAGTACTGTGTGAGGCTATAGGGGCATCTGCATGTGACATCTCCTTCTCAACCCCTGACCTTCCCTTATTGGGCAGGAAGGTCTGTAGTGGTGTGTGTGTGTGTGTGTGTGTGTGAGAGAGAGAGAGAGAGAGAGAGAGAGAGAGAGAGAGAGCGCGCACCCTGTGTAATCTGGGTTCCTGTTTGCAAGGTGCACTGTAACTGCATTCAGCCAAATCCCCTTATAATACTCCTTCAATCAACAGGAAGGTCAGTGATGGAGGAAGCAGGGCTGGCTGGCTGGCATGCACAACCCATGGACAGAATTGAAGCCGGGGTGTAGGAAGGGGGGTGGGGTGGGGGGTGGTCCGCCCTGGGTGTCATACCGGAGGGG